CCCCAAAACCCCAAAACCCCAAAACCCCGATACCTAAAATTCGGTTGAATTCACCTAAAAACGATGCCAAGCTTTCTCCAGTCAGTATAATGAGGCTGGTGTGGCTACTCGTTTCATAATTTTTTGTACATTCAGATCTCAATAAAAGTTTTCAATCCCTTCCCATTTTTATACAGTTTAAAACTTTTCCCGAAGTCTATTGATTTCTTCAGAAGAGCATTGATCAAGGAGTCTGGGTTGTATTTTCTACATGAGCGAGGTGAGAAAAATTAGCTGCTCGAAGATAATTATGTTGAAAATACAGATGCTCATACGTTTCAAGTTTAATTCATATTTAACTAAGCCACTTACCTCTCATTGGAGCTAAGTAATGGATGAGGAGGTAATGCTGCATTTCTCTCATATTTGTACTGGTTTAGAGCTTTACTGCCTCCTTTAAACCCTTTTATTAAAGCATATTTTTTATGGAATCCCAGAGTAGGCGTACTGGCTGAAGTCTTTGTTTCACCTAATAATTTCCGTTGTTTTGGATAACTTTTCTGAGAGGAGAAGGATATATGTTGGTCTATATGAAGTTAGTAATTATTCCTTTGTTTATCATAAAAGAAAACAAAACCCTCTCCGAATCAGAGTTTATAAAAATGGTAACATTTCTGGAAGTTATGTCGAAATAGAAAACAACAACATTATATAGTTTAGAAATGTGTTAGGGAACTTTCGAAAAATTTAGATATAGAGATTGTACCAGATGTTAAAGAGATGGTAAAATTTTAGTCTTGACAGTGAGAGCTTTCTTCAAAAAATTTAAAAGAGATATCTCAGATTTTTCATAAAATTTAATAACTTTATAGAAAATGCTCAATAACTCCTTAAATTTTTTAGGTAATTTCTTGAGATAATGGAGAAGAACATTCCTTAATATATTAAACCCAAACAATTTCTGATAAAATTCATTCTTACTTTTCTCCAGAAGTTTTGTTCTGTTCGATTTCAAGTTCTGTAGGAAGACTGGAGGACGAGAGAGTTCTATAAACCAGGTTATATCAGTCTCCATAATAATCTAAGCTCTATCAAAATCAACTATTAGTAGTGGAGAATTGGGGTTAGTGGAGGAAGCGTACTTTTGGAGGAAGGGAATAGGGATGGGTTTAGGAGAGCCTTTACGTTGGGAAGCATCTCGGAATGTTTGGAGCAGGTAGAAGCAGAGATGTGAGGCTCGGTTTTGAGGTGTTTGATAGCTTTGGATACTTTCGGCGATTTTTCGGTACCAAGTTTATTTTATAGCCGCGTTTTGAGAAGGGGAGAAGATGGAGGTTCTGAGACGTTTGTGTAGAGAAGGTTTCGGTTGGGTCCTCTTTTTGGAAAGTATTGTGATTTTTCTATTAGAGGCATCTTTGAATAATTTGCTCACGTTTCCTTTGTGTAAGGTTCTATAATCATTATCGACTCAAACTACAAAAATTTGCATCTCATAAACCTCAATTCCAAAACGTGTTAAAAATTCTTCAGGAACTCTAAATCTGCCTTTTTCTCTCCCAATACCGTCTTTCCTAACTCTCACATCCCTAATCTGATACTCAAGCATTTAAACCCCCTTATTTTACTTACTTTATCTTATTAATACAAATAGAAGCAGAGACCCTATTTTTGTTCTTGAATTGGTTCCCTTTGTTCCTACTTATATGCTTTACTCTTAAATCTAGATTCAAGTGAGCAACCAAATAATATAGAGCGTCTTTAGAAATTGATAAGTCAGAACACTTGAATAGGTCACTCATACCTTTATCTGAATCCTGAATATGGTTCTTTACCATCAAAGTTGCCACTGAAGACTCTTGCATCATATTTCACCTAAACTGTATTTTATTTATTCAACTAGTGGAAGAATTGTGGGGTTTTGGGGTTTTGGGGTTTTGGGGTTTTGGGGTTTTGGGGTTTTGGGGTTTTGGGG